TAACATGTATTAGTTTGTGATTAGGTCAGTTTATGAGGAACCACTAGTGGTAAGTCAGTGATATTTGGTATGCAGTTGTATAATCATTGGCATATCTCATTTCCGTGGAGATTATTTGGCCAAACCCCCTCAGTCATGGTCTATCGACTTAGAAACTTTTGCTGAGTTTACATGTATTAGTTTGTGATTAGATCAGTTTAAGATGAACTGCCAATGTTAAGTCAACTATATTTAGTATGCAAGTTTATTGGCATTTGCAAGTATCGTTTCCATGGAGATTATATAGCGCCAACCCCTCTTCATGGTTCATTGACTTTGAAACTTTTACATAGTTTACAAGCTAATGTTTGTGTTTAGGTTTGTTTAAAGGGAAATGATAAGTCAATGTAATTTGGTATGCAGTTGTATTAGCTATGGCACATCTCATTTACATGGAGATTGTTTAGCCATGTACCTCAGATATGGTTCATTTCAACTTATGAAACATGATAAAAGAGGGACGAAAGATACCAGAGAGACAGTCAAACTCATAGATAAAGTATTGCTATTTAATTTCAACATTTGTATAATCAACATTACAAGAGGGCGAGACATATCTCTGTGATAACAGTTTATCTACAAATTCTGATATGAATTAACATATGTTGAATTGAAATATTCATAAATTAATGATTGATCTATACAAAATTTCTGACGGATTTTTCTTATTCTTTGCTTATCTGCCTCATTAAATTATTGTCATTTGGGTATTTTTTTATGGATAATGTAATTAAACATTTTGCTATACTCCACAGAATCTATATTGGATGTTCGCACCTTTTATTTATTACATTATCAATATAATACATGTTTTTATAATGTACTTGAATTATAACTTTAAACTCACTGATAACAATGCTCACTATAAAAGATAACTTGTATAACTAGTGGAACATATTTCACAGACAAGGAACTTATTTCACCAGGTAAGGAACAAATCTCACAAACCTAGAACTTATTTCACCAGGTAAATTGTGGAACTTATTTTATAGAGATGGAACAAATCATATAGAAATTATCTGTGAAAAAAGTTCTCCCAGAATATTTTTCCTGTGAGGATTTGTTCCACTGGAACTTTTTTCACAGGAACAAATTTTGGCTCACATATTCACAACTATTCTATATATTATAGTTAGACTTGGGAGGATAAAAAACTTTAAAATGTTGTAATGACCTATTAATAATTAAATTCTTTAATTTCACAGCAATGAACCAAAGTACTAAATAAATGGAATTTTGTAAGATTAATTTTTAATTTAGTTCGATGGGCTGATTCAGACCAGTCAAGACTAAATTTGAAGGTCAGGACTAGTCGAGACAGGTCGAGACAGGTCGAGACTGGTCAAGACTGAGTCGAAACTGAGTCGAGACTACACCAAGATTATCAAGTACTGAATCAGAATTATTAAGTAAAGTCGAGACCAAAGTCGAGTACAATTAAGTACAGTTAAGTACTATCGAGATAATGTCGTGTCTAGTCGAGTAGAATCTGTGCTCGACTTTGCTGGTCGGGCACAAAATATGGTCTATTCAGACTCTGAGCAGTTTGTAGTGAAAGCTGGAAATTTGAAACATAATATTAAAGCTTTAAAACTGAGATATCCAAAAAAAGATCAAAAGCAAAATCAAGACTAGTTTAAACTTAAGAAGTTTTAAGTAACTGGAATTTTATTTAGAAAAAAACAAACATAATTTTGACAACGAGGATTGAAAATAGTAAATTTCTTCTATTTAAGAAAATGGATTATTTTTGGTTGAAAATTAATATTTAGAAAAAAGAGATGAAAGAGCTTTTCCTTTACTTTTGTTTTTTTTTATGCGCGGTTAGTTATTATTGTGTCTCACGAATGTTTTTCCAATATATTTACAAAGGTTTTCTCTGGTACTGTATGGAGACCGTGAAATTTCCAATTGTTTTAGAAGTTTACTCTTATATATTTACTGTTCTGGCTTATCTATTCTTGAAATAACTTTTCTGAGGTTGACTTTATTTTTTGCTTTCGTCCGGCTTGTTTGTTACAAATGTCATAGCATCTGTCAGAATTGCATGCCCTATCCATATATTATTTCCTGCAAAGCTATCTCACTTTATCTTGATGTGCCCATATATATGTTGGGTAAAAAGAGAGACGAAAGATACCAAAGGGACATTCAAACTCATAAGTCGAAAACAAACTAACAACGCCATGGCAAAAAACGAAAAACGACCAACGGAAAAACAACAGTACACAAAACACTGCAAAGAAACTCGAGTCTGAGAAACACGAACCAGGGGCGTAGCTACCTTCTAAATGAAGTGGAATCACAAACTAAAGGGCGAGGGGTCTGGTTGCCGCCTAAGGCCCCCAGTATGTCCAGGGCAAAGCCCTGGTAGGGGGTCCAGGGGGGCGAAGCCCCCCGTAAGCTCCGCATATATAGCGTTTCAAAACAATCACAACCGTAATAAAACTTGGACATTTTTGTTGTGTTTTTGTTGTCAACTATTTGTTTAACTTCGAGTCGAATGAAGACTAAACATTGTCGTTTGCGTTTTTTGTACGCCGTGAAAGCTTTTAAAATCACGGAGATTAATTGTTCCATATGCTAGTATTTGTATTGAGCAAAGAAGTATAAAAAAAAACAAACAATAAACATAAACACAATACTATATGTGGAGTTTCTGTTAGCATAAACATCATTGGATACCAAATACTTGGTGGACACATTCTCCAATATTTTACTTAACATATATGTATTTAGATGTTTAAAAATTTTGTGGGTAAACTCTACAAGAGAGAGGGATATGAATTTCTAATTTTACGCAGTTAGGAATTGTCGAAGTTGAAATTAATGAACTTTTTCATAGGGAATGGTACTTTGATCACGATCTTTTTCATGATCTGAGTTTGATTATTATCCAGCTAATTAACAAATACATATGCATTCGACCAGTTGTATGGCAATATCTAGATGATAACAGTGAAGATACGTGTATTAAAAGTTTGGTGTATCTTTCGAACAAGAATCAGCAGGTTAGTGTCCGACTCGGACAGAAAATTCATTATAAAATTGAATGACCAAATAGTCCAGTAAAACGAGTTAGAAATCAATTTATTTAAATGCTTTACACAATCTACCATTCGTATAGCCGGCCCATATAGAAACGACTTCCAATTATCGAATCTATATACAAGATGTTTTTTTGTAAAATAGATGAAAACGTAATACATGAACTATTGATTGATTGAATGGTTATTAATGTCCGGTAGCAAATATTAAATGCACACCAGGACAAGAATACGTTGACGTGATGTGAAAATGAACTATTCAGGTTGTCAAAACCTACATACTTAGTCAATTTTGAACTAGTTCACAAGGTAACAGTCATTATTCCCGGATCAATACGAGTTGAAGAGTCTTCGTTCTAGTAAGATGTGTTCTATGGGGCGAAGCGGAAAATAATAATTTGCAAGTTTTTATGTTAACCTTAAAGGGATTATGTTTTTTTTTTTTGCACTCAAAGCGAGTCTACGTTATGGTGGTGGTACCGACAACTATGTAGCTGGTATTTTCTAAACAATGCCCGTAATATTAAAAGTTTACACCAGTTGTATGTATTTATGGTACACATACATGTCTTACATGATTAAAAATTTCGCTGCATATGTATTCCTCTTGCTTTTATTCTTTGTGTTGTTTTTAAAATGCATACATAGAAAAACCAATTCCTATATATGTTAACTTTGTCCCCCTCTTTCTCTCTGTTTTTTTTTTCTTTTTTTTTGTGTGAAAACGACGTGGATGCACGTGCTGCCATGCCTCCGGGTAGCTACGCCCCTGCGAACCCAACCAAAAACCGGTCTAAAAATCGTGTTGCTCATGTAATTACAAACCCTCTTGAATTGCAGTTAGGTTAGAGTATTTGTTCCATGTTATAAGCCTCATTGTGTCTTTAAGATGAAGATAATAATAATAAAAATGCTGCTCTTTGTTTTTGGTTTTTCATGTACGCGATCTTTAACCCCTTATATATTTCCCTCATCACAATATTTGCATTATACAATTAATGACCAAAATAAAGTAGGGTTAACTATGTTGTTTTAGTGAATAAAGAGGCTGTAATATTTCGGAATTAGTGTACACAAGAGTAAATTGTTATCAAATGAAAGCATCAACTGAAATTTGAAAAATGATACAAGGTTTCCAGAAACACCTCCTGTACCATGTAGTGTTAACATAGTCTAGTAGTGTTTTGATTGGTTAAATGAAAATTACATATCATAAACATAAATGCAAGAACAATTATTGATTCCATGAAATATATTTCTTGCTAAATATCATACTCGAAAAAGGTGTAGTTTTACAGTCAATATATATTTCAATAATTAACCATATCTATTCATCTCACAATTAAATTTTAAAAATAGTTCAAAAACTAGTCAAATCCTATAGAGAATCAAAAAGCGGTAGGTAATTTGAAACTTTTATGCAAGTTTTCATTTACTTGTTCAATACTCCGTTAAAACCTTTAATGTGTCTAGGTGTATACACACAACAATATCAACACTAATATCTATTTATTCATTTAAGTATTATTTCCTATCATTTACAATTTTAGTTTAAATTTGTTTTTGTTGTTATATATCATGTGCTTCAGTCCATAGCGTAACTTTTTTCTGTTTACACGATTAGCCAGAGTATGTTATCCTTATAAGCGATTTAACAAACAGCGATGTAAAGGGAAAAAATGCAAAATGATGTTTATCAGATGTATATGAAATGCATAAAAATTACCGATACATTAAAGGAACGGCGTTTTCCGTTGTGTTTCTTTTTAGTTGATCACTAGAAATGTTATTGAATTGATATTTAACTTTATCTCCAATAGAAACACAATAATATTGCTAAATGGAATTTCGATTTTTTCTAGATGGATTACCTATAATAACATAACTTAGTGTGTCTTTTATCATTACAGTTCCTCGACAATAGTATTCCCTGCTTAAAGATGCTGGCCGTATTGACATTGATCCTCATCGTTCCATATGCATATGCTGGTAACCTTGATTAAATAGACAAGACATCTAGTTTGCTAATTATTATTAGCATTTTCTGCGATTTTAAACATCAATATTTGTATTAAAATTTAGTAAAATACATGTGCAAAATGAGATTGAAAAGTATTATCTATAAATCTATATTATGTATAGTATATAGAAATAATTGAAGACACTCAAACATTCTTTTTAACCCTTTAACCAACGCCTAAAATCACAATCTTAGATAAAATATACCATTTTGTTATCTATATTTTTGTAAAGGGATCTTGTTGAATTGAGTATACATTTTATTAATCTTCAAAAAAATATTTCATACATGTTTGTTTAATTTCTATCAAATAAATAAAAGAAGAAGTTCATAACGTATCAACACTAATCTAGTATTCACAATTTTTCAGTACAATGGCCAAAAGGAAGCTATACACTAGTCAAACCGAAAACAGGATGCCCATCTAGGTGGAGGGAAGGATGGCGAAAGCAAGATAATGAAGATGAACGAAATTCTAATGTGATGCCATTTGGACATAATTTCTACGGTAAAGGTTGCATATTTTAAGTAATATTCAGACTATTTTTAACTTAATTTCGAAAATTGATTCAATGTAAAAACACAATACTTATAAATGAAAAAAAATCATGCAATCAGCTTACATCAACAAATAACTTCGGAAATACCAGATAACTGCAACATATTTCTTAATGTTTAATTTATGTCCAACATTATAAAAAAAAATTCTCCAACATGTCAATTTGGACGAGACATGAGTTTTCAATATTGTACCAAGGACGGACATGCCATATCAGGAACTCAACATTGGCCTAGAGGAAATTACTGTATTGTAAGACAAGGAATATCCTATCCACCAGGTATATATATATACTAACATGTTAACCTTAAGATTACTCATTAATAATAGATACATATAAGCATATAATTTTGTATTTGATTGGATTCAAATTATCAGTTCAAAAACAAATTGTTATTATTAGGGTACCGATAGATGGCAAGTATCGATATAACAATAATGTAGAGATTATATTAAATAAAAAGACAATTTTACATATGACCAGTTAATGACAATATAGTTATAAGACTTTATGTTGCAGTTGACATAATAACTATTTTAGGCTTCCATATGGGAAGTGTCCTTTGGGATGATGAAGACAAGAGAACTTCTAATGCCCTATGGGGTATTCATCCTGGTGGAGAGTTTGATAAAGACACTCTCATAAACTACTGTTGCAGGTATCACATTCAAAATAAGAGTAAAAGCTGATATTAGTTACTGTTTAATACTATACATGAACTTAACCAAAACAAAAATTACAACTAAAATTTCTTACTGGAACAAAAACATATGAGAGAGAGAGAGAGAGAGAGAGAGAGAGAGAGAGAGAGAGAGAGAGAGAGAGAGAGAGAGAGAGAGAGAGAGAGAGAGAGAGAGAGAGAGAGAATAATTAGAACTTTAGACTTATAATATTTTCCTTATTTAAAACACTACTTATTTTGATAAATGTAATATTGATATTCTGATAATTATTCGATTGTTTATAGAAATGACGGTTTAGCAAGAAAAAAGATAAATCTTCCAACAAATAAACCGTTCTTCTTATTGCGATGCCAATCACCATGACAAGAGGTTCAATGGATGCGTGTCAGAGAGAAAAATGTGAAAACAGATGACGAGGTCGATCGTAATAAAAGTCGTGTCAGTGGACACCACACTCTGAATGATGGTGGCAGAGACAACAGGCTTTACTATTGTTATTTTTACTGAATATAGTTACTGGAAGTCACACACTGCATGATACGAACAATAACAACAGTCTCTATTATTGTTAATTTACTGAGTTTGATTGCATGGATTCAAATAAAGTGTAGTTTTTTTAATAATCATTTTGTCGTTGTTTGTATGTAACGTTTATTGTTATTATATATTAATGTACATGTAATCTTATTTCGGTGCTTTGTGTCTATTGTTTTTTTATGTTAGTCGTATTTGTGCCTCGTACCGATCGTACTAAACTCCAAGGAAAATCAAAACGGAAAGTCCCTTATCAAATGGCAAAATCTAAAGCTCAAACACATCAAACGAATGGAAAACAACTGTCATATTCCTGACTTGGTACAGGCATTTCCTTATGTAGAAAATGATGGGTCGAACCTGGTTTTGTACCTAGCTCAACCTCTCACTATTAGAACAAACATGTTTAACCCCGCCACATTCTGTATGTGCCTGTCCCAAAAAGAGGGACGAAAGATACCAGAGTGACAGTCAAACTCATAGATCGAAAACAAACTGACAACGTCATGGCCAAAAATAAAAAGACAAACAGACAAATAATAGTACAGATGACACAACATAGAAAACTAAAGACTAAGCAACACGAACCCCACCAAAAACTGGGGGTGATCTCAGGTGCTCCGGAAGGGTAAGCAGATCCTGCTCCACATGTGGCACCCGTCGTGTTGCTTATGTTATTACAAATCCGGTAAATAGTCTAATTCGGTAAGTCACATTCGTGAAAAGGGAAGGGTATTGTAGTTACGACATAAGGAACATATCCGATATCATCTGTGAAACGGTTATTCCATAACGGTCAACCAACTCGTGATGGCGTCCGTAAAATTTGCGGGGATGACTTCAACTTCACCATTTGAAACTCTTGGTTTAATAGCTTCCTTGTGAGCAGCAATCCTCTATCAAGGAAATCATGATAGGAAACACAAGCCCGGGAATATCGTATCAATTGGGAGATATATACTCCGTATGCAGGCGCTGCTGGAATGTTGCTACATAGAAATGGAAAGTTCACAATTGGGAAGCTGAAATCATCTCTTTTGTCGTAAAGTTTTGTTTTCAACCTACCCTCATTGTCAATTTCTAGATGTAAGTCAAGATATGAGGCAGACTTAACTGTATCTGTAGTATCCTTTATCTCTAGTTCGATGGGATAAATTCGTTCAACATAGTCACCAAATTTTGTATTATTTAGTGAGGAGCCTGTATTTCAGTGTTTGTCTTTGGTTCATATATGTCATACTTGTTTTCCGTAATTTTTTTCGTTTTGAATTAGGCTGTTCGTGTTCTTGTTGTTGGGCCATTTCATACATGTTTATTCGGTATAGGTTTTTGTCATTGTTGAAGGCCGTACGGTCGCCTTTAATTGCTTAAATCCCCTTCCTTTAAACTCTGGTGGATAGTTGTCTCATTGATAATCATACCCCATCTCCTTTTTTATATTGATAGCACACAATCTCGAAGATATTTATCTATCGACTCACCTGGTTCACTCTGGTTTGGATTTATGCAATTATGTACATGAAATTAATTTAATGTCCTGTCAAAAACAGAACATTCTACGCATAAATTTAGACTGCATTAGATGGGATTTTATTCGAAGTAAAATTCTTTCTATAATCTGAACTAATTAATCCTCACATTGGTTAACAGTACAGAAGAGAAACCGAAATTGCGTTGTACATACATATATGTATACAAAACATGAATTTAAAGAGAATATGGGATATACGTATATGATATCTAGATGGCAATATGCAAGAACACATTTCTATTTTTTTTTTGAATAATTTTTTACACATCTGTTTTTCCGTCCTAAAATTTATATTAGATAATGTTCACTACAGTCTGTTAATGACTATTTTTTTGAAATGCTGACCGAAATTTTATTTATATTGATTATTAGGTCTTTCCACTTTTCTGTGGAAAGACCTATTGTATTTGTTCTGATTATTAGGTTTTTCCACTTTTCTGTGGAAAGACCTATTGTATTTGTTCTGATTATTATTATTATTATTATTATTTTTTTTTTTTTCTTCCGCCAAATTTTGTTCTTGCGATAAATGTTTGTTTCGCAATATGTCGCTTAGATATTTCTCATATTGTATCGTATAGTTTATGCGCTTTTAAATTTCACCCTGCTAAGCTAAACCATTTTCTTTGTAAGAGTTATCTCCCTATTCACTGTTTATCATCTGTGTGCATCTCCTTTGTAACAAAAAAAGATATCGACAAAATTCTTTTTACAAATTGTTCGTTACATCTTCAGGAATTTTTGGCTAATTTGGATCGAAGCGATTCGATGAAATTTTATAGGAGTTATCTACCTTTATCAAATAAATTTGTCGTTATGTTTTTGTTACTCATAAACTGTAAGCCGTATAAACCTATAGTCTTTTTATTTAAGGTCCTTGGATCCTAACTTCGAAAATGAGGTCAAGGTCAAAGGTCAAAGTCATGTTCTGAATTTTGTGTTTTGCTTGTTTTTGCATTTTCTCCGATATTTTTAATGTTATATATTAAAGAACAAGTGCAAAATGTTTGTTATATTGTGATGAAGATATGATACATTTAGTCTGAGACAATCCAGCGACATCTTATTGGAGTTATTGCCCCTGAAATGTTTTATTTTAAGGTAAATTGATTATTACTTCATATTAGTACATGATAAAGCCATAAGATCTTTTGCAAAATGTTGGGTGACATATGACCTTGAAAAATGTCAACCGGAAGTGACCTTGAGTGAACCGGAAGTAGTCATTTTTGCACTTATTTCATGTAGAAGTACATAGAAACCATATATTTTTTGAATGGGCATACATTAATCTGTCATTTGAGACCGGAAGTGATATTTTATAAACCGGAAGTAGCATATTGTCTCCCTTTTTACAGGCAAAAGTATATATAAACCATATATTTTTGGAATCAGTGTATATAAAGCTATCATATGAGACCGAAAGTGACATTTTCTAAACCGGAAGTAGCCAATTATCTCCCTTTTTACAGGCAAAAGTATATATAAACCATATATTTTTGGAATCAGTGTAAATAAATCTATCATATGAGACCGGAAGTGACATTTTCTAAACCGGAAGTAGCCAAATATCTCCCTTTTTACAGGCAAAAATATATATAAACCATATATTTTTGGAATCAGTGTAAATAAAGCTATCATATGAGACCGGAAGTGACATTTTCTAAACCGATTGTTGACAATTATCTCCCTTATTTCAGGCAAAAGTCTATAGAAACCATGTTTATTGAATCAGTATGAAGAAACCTATGATTGGACGCCAATAGTAGCTTTGAGTAAACCAGAATTATCTTCTCATCCATTATTTAGAAAATTGATGTGGAAAGACCTTCAATTGTTCTTTGAACAATTGGTTTTTAATTATTATTTTTTTTTTCCGCCAAATTTTGTTCTTGCGATAAATGTTTGTTTCGCAATATGTCGCTTAGATATTTCTCATATTGTATCGTATAGTTTATGCGCTTTTAAATTTCACCCTGCTAAGCCGAACCATTTTCTTTGCAAGAGTTATCTCCCTATTCACTGTTTATCATCTGTGTGCATCTCCTTCGTAACAAAAAAAGATATCGACAAAATTCTTTTTCTAAACTGTTTGTTACATCCTCAGGAATTTTTGCCTAATTTGGATCGAAGCAATCCAGTGAGATCTTAAAGGAGTTATCTGCCTTTAGCAAATTAAAATTTGACCAAAATGTTAGTCGCGATATGATATAACTGGAAAGTTTTTGTCAAAATGGTACGCGTCATTGTTTTAGGGGTTCCATGCCACTGAAATAGTAAAATGAACAAAATGAACTAATTATAGCCTCAAACTTTGCAGCTATCATGATGTATACATGCATCTTATCTTAATTTATCAACCAAGGTCCACCATCCTCCACCTCCCCCCCCCTTTTTTTTTTTTTTTTTTTTTTTGAGGAATCCCATTTCGCCTTGAAGTTCAGTCCTGTACATTTTACTGTAAAAAATGCAATCCTTCTGATGTACAAACTTCTTAAATAGAAATTCATTCCTGCAAAAATCGGCTCCAATTCATGTTCCCGTTAGACACGGTCCGCTTGATTGAGAAATAAAATTCAATGACGTAGAAAAATCGTAAATATTGCTGAAATCCTACAATCAAATTATTTAATCATGCATTAAAATACAAATATGTGCTCCCGTAAACATGTGTACGTAAGATGCATGCATGATCCGTCATCAATGACCTGTAAATAATAAAACCAATAGTGATCATGTTTGTCCGATCAGTACACATGTGCTCTGTTCAACGGTCTCCCCTGAAAAGAAATATATATTCGAGGGTCACGTGACTTCACAACACCATCTTGCGCGCGGACCTTAATTTAGAATAAAACATTCCATATCCAAATAAGGAAAATAAAACTTCCAAGATAAAATTTACTCCGTTTTCCTACAAATTCAATCAAAATGCATACAAAACAAATAGATGAAAAATGGAAGTCCGAGGTAACATAGAAACTAGAGAAAATTTATAAACGAATGATGCTAGGATCAATTTTTATGAGGACATCTCAGGCGTCCGTTTGGCTGTGCGAGATGTATAAGTACGCAGTCACGTTCGGTCAGAATATAGGCGTTATCTAAGTTAGCTGCGTCGCACAGAGAAAGTGCCATGCAATCAATCAATCAATCAAGCAATCAATCAATCAATCAATCAATCAACCAACCAACCAACTAACCAACCAAAAAACCAAAAAACCAAAAAAACAATTAATCATGTTTCGGAGGGGAAAGACCGTTTAACAATTGTTTTTAAAACAATTGATTTATATTTGTAAAATCTCTTATTCGATCAAGGTTTGATATCACTTAAAATACATTATAAATGTTAGAAATCGTTGTATTTCCCTAAAGCATAGATCTGAGTCCTTTTGCGGTTTTCTAATGGGTACAAGTAACAAAGAGTTCAACACACATAGTGGTAAAACATAACCAATTATGCATTTTTGTTCGACGATCATCACTTTTAACAACTAAAACTGATGAAAAACAGCAAAGCCCATAATTTAAGATTATCATCGCCTCAACCTGCCTCAACCTAAATTTTCAGGCCATAAAACACCATTAGCACATTAAGAATGGCTCTTTTCACGAGCAACATACCTCTTTACACCAAATACACGGACATAATTAAACACGCTAGATACAATTTTCTATAAGAATGAATGCGTTTTGCATTAATCCTATTGCACTTGAAATAAAGTATACTGTAGCTGACTAGGTCTGCTTCATATCTGGACTTGCATCATGAAATTTACAATGACGATCACTTAAGAAGTAAATTATACAATACATGTACTATGATCCACTAGCGCTGTAGGAATTGCTAACCATTCCGGAGCACCTGAGTTCATCCCTGGTTTTTGCTGTGATTTTATTGCTCAATCTTAATTTTTCTCGAAAATGTTTTGTGAAATGTTTTTTGTTTCTTCGTCGTTCCTTTTTTTGTAAAGGAGATGTCTTATTCGACTTAGTGAAATTGTTCACCACTTCATGGCTTCAATTTAAAATAGCGTTTATATTGATCATTCTGGAAAAGAAAGAGAAAAAAAATGAATAATTCAGATTAATTGCTCAAGAGAAAGACAGGATAAAGATTTTTCTGGTATCCTTCGAATTATATAGAGTAAGTATTCGGCAATGACGAACAATTCAGAAATAAAAATCCTCGATTTTTGCTAAAGATCTAAAATGCGAAAATCTTATTGAACAATAGTTTATTTAATATTAGGTGAGCATTATTTTTTAAAGCTTTTACCCATGATACCATGTACACTTCAGATATAGATTTACAAAATGAAAAATATTAATATGATATCAAAGACCAACTATTGTTTTGCAAATAATCAGTCAATTTAAAACACCGCTACTAGCGGACTATTCCCGAGGGTATCATCAGCTCAGTAGAGAGTGTGTCGGAAATGACGTGATTAATTACATACCTTTCTGAAATTGTCCGTTTCGAAACAAACAAAGTTGACCTTAGATGAATTCGGCTATTATTTTTGGGTCCCTTATGGTCAAATATTTCTTCACTTGTTTCGGCTCTTATGCATCCCCGTTTTCACATATTTGGCTATAAGCGTTCCTGATAAAGGTATATCCAAAAAAGTGCTTTGGATTCATAACATTTAAAACGTGTTATTTTCATTTAATATAGCACTGGGTCGAACAAGATGCTGGTGAACTATGCTGCTGACATGATTTATAACATACCTTTCAGAATATTTATGAATTTGAAATAATTATGAAACGAAGATTCCAACTCCCTCAGGCAAAGTTTACCTTAGTTGTATTTTGCTATTATTATTAATCTCATTCGGTCATGAAACACTTTTCGTGTTTCGGTACTTACACATCTCTTCTTTTAAATATTTGACTTTGAGCATTCCTGTTGAAGGTGACTCCAGAAGAGCGCTTCAGATGCATATAATTTATAAAGTTTTTTTTTATTTTTTAAGTGAACCCCTACACACAAATACTGACATATACATCAGTTCCTTTTTTATTTGGATCGGAAATGTATGTTCACTTTGATTAATCTACAGCTAAGAAGACAGGACAAAGTATACTTTCAAAGTATTTATGTAGTCCCTGTCAAATTATTTTTCTCACAAAATAGGGTTTCGAGTTCTTCTTCCAGAATTTAAATCAACAGTCATAGTAGCATCTCTGTTAACGTATGCAATTAAAACAATAACATTTCAACATGGTTCAATGTTATAGACAAAAGAATGAAAACATAGAATATGATGTAATTGCGCATGACAGGAAATCACATGTTTGGGACATCAAATAAAGGACAATATTTTGAGATAAAAAAATTAAAATGATCCAAAAAAACAATAACCAAATACTGCAGAAACCAGCTTTGCTTGAAGAGTTGGTATCTCAGTTTGTGATAAAAACAAACCCAACTCATTTGTAATTATATCACCTAAAAATTCAAAGATTCGTGTAATAAAAATCATAACGAAACGGCACTGACATAACAAAATAAATAAACCCAGCGAAAACATATGCAAGAGCAAACGAATCCCCTTAAAACTAAATGTATGGGTGAACTCATGTTTCTAGAAAGGTAAGCCGTTCCTGCCTAACAAAAGGCACCTGACGTATTTGCTCACGAGAAGCAAAAATCTGCTGTAATATTCAGAATGTCTTAAAATAGGAAACAAAAACAGTAGTGTGACTATAACAAAATTGTTACACGTATATTCAAACTGGTCAACAAAATGAAATGATAGCAGCCTCAAATCTTTCAAAGAGATAATTTCAAATATGTTCAGTGTGTGGTAGTCACTTCCTGCCTTCGATTTCTCTATTGTGTTGTCACCGAATGCAATTTGTCATTGTTTTTTAATTTGTCATAAAAGCCAAAACGGGTGCAACTAGTGAAGAATTAAACAGCTTACCCTTCCGAAAAACCCGAGTTTCCGAGTTTTTCGGTATTCGTGATGCTAGTACTCGATCTGGTTTTCTGTGTAGTGTTTTGTTGACTGCTGCTTACCTTTCACTCTTTTTTTCTTTAGCTCATGGTGTTGTCTGTTTGTTATAATTATGTTTTTTTTGCCTCCTTGATATCTCCTTTTATGATATTAGCATCCTTTTGTCAAGGATAAAGGAAAGAAGATATTATAATGCCACTTTTTTGCCCGTTGAATTCAAAAATAAAATGATATCGTAAATCTACCAAATAACACTTTTCAGATGTACTAGTATTTATATGGCATAAGTCTGTCGGACATAAGTATTTGTGTTTTTAAAGTCTGTCTTACGTTTTGACATTTAGGATTCAAACTACTTATAATGAGTGGAAAACCGCAAAGAATGCAAAAATAACCTCATTTTGAGATCTTGTCATTCATATTTAGATATGAGTTACAGCTTTTTTTAATCCAAAAAGATATTTTGCTACAAAATGTTTTAATAACAACAGGTAATACACACACACATTTTTTGGGTAAAGCTATAATTATTAAGATTGATATTTTGATCAAAAACGATGCGTGAAATGGTCATTTTAGGTAAAATACGAAAATGTCAACATGTTTATGACGTCATAGTGACATTACACGTGAACTGTCCACACTAAAGTGTCCAGATTATAAAAACCTGTTCTTGTACCAATACAATTAGCGTAGTTCTGAAAGGCATAAATAGATTTAATAATTTTGAGGCAGTTACATGAACTTGACACGTGATAAAATAACACTTCAAACTACACAACATTTCATTTCATAATTTCGGTACTTTTTTATTCCTTTTTATAAAAGTAAGATGTGGTATGATTGCAAATGGGTCAACTCTCAACCAGAGACAAACTGGAACAGAAATTAACAACTTAGTTCCATTATTCATAAAATTAGCATAGTTCTTTATAGTTCTTAGCATAGTAATGCATAAATAAGTTTACTATTTTTGCAATATCAAGAGCAAAATAATGACTTTTTATGCCCCGCCGTAGGCAATGGGGGCATGCAGTGTTACCCTTGACCGTTCGTTCTTCCATCCTCCCGTCTGTCCCATTTTCGTTTCCGCACTCTAAGTTTTCCGATCCAAATTTCATGAAGCTCATATACAATAGTAAAAACTAAAATTCGCAGACAGTGTTTGAATTTGGGCATTGAGTCACTTATCGTTCTAGAGTTATGCCCCTTTATAACTTGTAATATTGCAAATTGTTTGGTTTCCGCACTTTTACTTGAGTTAGCCTCAACTAAATTTTATAAAACTCATACATAATGCTAAAATTTACAACACGCAGAGAGAGTTTAAATTATGGCAGTATGTCATTTACCGTTCTAGAGTTATGCTCCTTTATAATTTGGAAAATTGCTAATTGTTCAGTTTCTCCACTCTAACTTTAGTTTGTATAATCCAAATGTTAGGAAACTCATGCACAACGCTAAGTACCACAACACGCAGAAAGAATTTAATTTGGACAGTGAGTCATTTACCGTTCTAGAGTTATGCTACTTTTAAAATCAAGCTTGAGCGGGGCATTAGTGCCCTCAGATACATTTTTCTTTTATTATCATACTTCTTCTAAGAATAGGACACACAATCTTTGAAATAACGTATAAATTTGAAGATAAGTACGTCATTATATATTTGCTACTGGAAATAAAATTACTACCTGATAAAAAGCAAGGTCACATGGAAATAATGTATATTATATACTGTATGTTTAGGTATATAATAATAATATATAGCTCAGTAATCAATGCTTCGGTTCTGATATGATTTATAACATACTACCCTAATATTCTTTTTTTTTTATAAATTAAGAAATTGTTTAGAGGCAAAGATTCCAATTCCCTCCGAAAGTGGACCTTAGATGAATTTCAATTGGCTATTATTTTTATGTCCCTTTTGGTCATAAATCTCCGTACGTGGGTACGTATTGTCAAATGCCTGGCTTTCAAATGGTTATGTTTGAGCGTTCCTAATAAAGGTTAATCCAGAAAAGCGCTTCGGATGCATACAATTTATAACAGGTTCTGTTCAAGAAAAAAAGTATAATAAAAAATTCCAAACTCCATTGTAAATTAAAAGAGGAGAAGTACCTAAAACCGGACAAAACTAAATGCTGGACTTTATGAAATGACAACTGCAGAGTGATTGAAATAAATTTGCGAAACAGTTAAAAGCAATTTGGACGATAGATAATCTTTCAAATTAACATTCATGCCTAATTTAATTTTGATATTATATTTTGTATCATTATTACTTGATAACTAAATTGATTTAAGCTTTAGTATATATGTAATATAACGTACGTTATAATTTTCAGTGCATATGACAAGTGACAAAACAATCTACGTTTTGAAATTTAGTACAAAGGACAGTTGGAAAACAATGATAAAGATTCTAGAAGAACAGCAATACTATACGATTGAGGACATCTTGAAAGTGTAAGCAATACAGTTGTTGGTTGATTAATTATAAACTTGAAAGATGGATATAGGAAATAACAATTGTTTTAAACTTTTTAAATCGTATCTTCAAGTTCTTTTTCCTGAAGGAGTGTAACTGAATCCACTGTGCCTTTAAACGCATCCAATTGTGGTCGCCAATTAGGGCTTGATTTCATCTTTTCTTTTAATCTCTTGAATAAGTAAAATGTATATGATTATGAAACAATATAAGATAATCATTTTCATTTTAATCAAAGTTAAACCAGCATAATTAATTAACTCAATCAAAAGTCATTTAACAGATTTTTTTACAAAAATGGTAATCATAGCTTCATTTTCCTTATTTTGGTTATGCAAAATCTGAATTGTAAAGAATCACGCTTATTCCAACAAAAAATGCATTTACATGTACACAGAAGATGATATCGTAATAACGATGGACTTTTTGATTGAAAACATATTTTTTGAGTTTGGCGGATTGATATCAATATTTCAACAGATAGTCTGCATTCCAATAGCTACTAGTTGTCCACTCCTACTGAACGATTTGTTGTGTACTTACGTGAAGCAGAATTCATACATTAACTTCTTAAAGACAAACCACAAACTATTTTGCAAAGTTTTTTTTATTTTCACTCTATATATATTGATGATGTACAGTTACTAGAAAATACACATTTCAATGCGTTCTTACATCTCATACATCCCAGTGAACTTCAGATTAAGGATACTACCGGAAAAAAGAAGGCCTCAATATTGACACAGGCGAATGACTTCAAACTAACATCATGATTTCAACATTCCAATTGTAAACTTGCCAATTCTCAGCCGTAACATACTCTCTTCCCTATAGGAACTTTACTTAGTCTGGGAGAACATGCTTTCTTTATTAGTTGTAATTGGCTTTTAGCTAGCTTTCAGTAACTGCTAGTAATCTTATATCGGTGCTTTGTGTCTATTGTCTTAATGTTAGCTGGATTTTTTTTGTGTGCTTCATACCGATTTATTGCGTTAAGCAATTGCGAATGGCATTTACAGTTTATTCTTATGATGTGCTGTTACACCAATTTTCCAGGTTAAGGGATGGTTGAGCGGTGACAAGCATGTTAAACCCCGACACATTCGTAATTTGCCTGTCAGTAGTCAGGAACATGTTGTTTAGTGTTGTCATTGGTTCATGTCTGTTATGTTTTTTTTCGTGAATGATATTATTATAAATTAGGCCGTTAGTTTTCTCGTTTGAATTGTTTCACATTTTTCATGTCAGGGCTTTTTATAACCAACTATATGGTATGTTTTTTTTCTCATTTTTGAAGGCTGCATGGTGACCTATAGTTAAAAAAAAGAGATGAGGTATGATTGCCAATGAGACAACTATCCACCAAAGTTCAAATAAAGTGGATGTAAGCAATTATAGGTAACCGTACGGCTTTCAACAATGAAAGAAATCCAAAAGGCCCCGACATGAAAAATATGAAACAATTCAATAGAGAAAACTAACGGCCTAATTTATATCAAAACAATTAACGAAAAACAAATATGACAGACATGAACCTTTTTTTTATATCCACTTCATTTGAACTCTGATGGATGGTTGTCTTAATGACAATCGTACCACATCTCCTTTTTATATATCTCATTTAAGTAAACTTGTCATAGACAACCGGCATAAACATTTTGTTCCCCAGACACGGGTGTTGTCTTCCAAAAACTCATCAGTGAAAGAGAGGCGAAAGATATCAAAAGAACATCAAAACTCATAAGTCAGTGACGCTCGAATAAAATATGTTAAAAAGGGCAAATAAAGGACGAAGTTAAAGAAAATTAGGAACCGAAAAGTCCTCACGCTCGTGCAAATTGACATTATACTGGCTTCATTAAAAAGGGATGTTCTTCTTAAATAATACACGGCTCCAAAAGAGTTATGAGGAAGAACGATTGAAATCGAAACTTCATAAGATTTATGGTCACCATCACGAATTGGTTGACCTATTCTGTTTGACTGTTTCTCAACCTACAAGGGTATTCGTGGTCTTAGATCTTTAGATTCCAGAATAGTAGTCTGATCTCTTATTTTACCGATTGTGTTCTATTCTCAATTGTAAAATTTGGACTGAGCATGGATACGCATAGCCGGTGATGCATGCATAGTAGAAGACGCTTAACCCTGTCGACGCAACCAGTATCGCTCTTGTTGGAGATCATGCCATTCCCCCATTTTTTTATCTTGATTTGTCTGTTCTTAATAGGCTTACGATATTTGAACAACGATAAAGCACTGTTGTCTTAATTTAAGCTTGGGAATAATTTAGATTTTAATGAATAGTGGAGTATGTGTAGCAATGAATCATTACCTTGAATTATACTTTTTTGTATTTTGTCTCGAATTTATCTACCAAGCTATCAATCACCTTTACACCTGGTATTGAATTAACATATTTAACATAACTATCAACGAACAATCTTTCCTGAAACAAAAAAACAAAGCTTATAGCATCTTACCTGTTTTAGTGTCCCCTCTGATCGCCATAATGATATGGAAAAACAGACTGGTATAGGTATCAAGGATATCAATCCTATTATCCAGCCAATGCCAACAGCCCATGATGGATATTTGTATGCCTTATATGATACCGGAGTAACAGTAAGCATATTAAATGCTAACATCAGCTGAAAGAAATCAAAGTATGCACTTGTTTAGAACTAAGTTATGATGGCGCGATTTTAAGAGTATTAGTAAACAGTTATTCTCAGTGACATCATGATCAAGGAAATTTATTATTACTTCAACGTTATTGTCAGTGTTTTCTTAACCTATAATTGCAGTTCATTAAACATTCTGTTTCAATATATTGACAATACGGTTCGATTATCTATCCCTTTATATATGAAATAGACATTGGACTGTCTTATTTGTCTGCTTTGGAGAATTTAAACATTCAAACCACAAAAGTAATACGCACACACTACATATAAATAGACTAATAGACGAACAATCTCACATCTTTAAGATAAAAACAAGCAGAGTATTGAAATGGTATTTATCACCCATGCGAAATTATTTTTAATCTTAAAGGTGTTCACTTTAATGCCATCGATCATCACTTACTTATGCCTTATCATATCATCAGGTGAATCTTGGTTTTATATCAGGTTCAGTTTATCTACAATTGAAGCGTTATTAGCCTGAATGCGATAAAAAAAAATCTTTCACTGACCCTTTCCATGTAAGATTTAAGTTTTAAGATTGAAACTCATCCCCTTGACAATTTTGTGTATATGTGAAAAAGTAAGAAACCACACGAACCAGCAACTTCAGATTCCGCAGAGAAAGTAAACAAACAAAAATTAAAAACAAAAACAAACAACACATGAACAAGATTACCTGGCAGAATAGGCTAACAAAATGAAGTGGGTTAATGGTTTGACAGACTTCACTTTACCTATCTAAACTACAATCCAAAAAACCCTTCAAATTCCAGCTACCAAAAGGATGACTACTCGCTTAAACCAAAAAAATAAAAGACGGCACATAATTTTAAATGAAGGGCCATAGTTTAAACGCTTCTACAGGAAGCTAGCTGATGTATCTGCATCTGTTGATTTAATACTGTCGATTAAAAAACACAAACAAAAACCAAGTAAGGAAACAACACTCCCAAAAGGTTCCATGAAGTCTAAATAAACGTTTTATTGAAATTCTGCAATTTGGTGAAAGGCATTAAAGATCTTCATACTATCGCTATCGGAAGAAAGAAATTAATGGTATATTAAGCCTGTAGCTCTTGTTGTTGAAGGATGAAGAGCTATTTCGAGTGTTTATTGATTTTGCAATGTTGTTGTTCTTTTTAGCGCTAGAAATACCGTCTTTTTCATCTTTTACACGAAACAGATATGATGCTGATAACGACTGGGTGTATAATTTCACAAAAGATGAAAAGAGATACTGTGTTAAAGTTACTAAATAAACTTGGTATTTTTTTAAATAGGTATGATACATGTATATATATGACTTTTAATATCATGTATTATATTATAATATGCCGTTACTAAGAATAAATACGCAAGCTATTTATATTATTTATTAAGGATAATGTTCAACCAAGCCGCTTGAATCTGTAAATGACCGAAATCAGGTTGCTACAAGCAAATAAATAAAGTGCTTGTTCTTTGTATTTATGTATTTTGCAATAAACGCCCTTTTCAAAATAAGTTATTTAATTTCAACATAGCTTTTCTCAATATGTTAATAACATAATGCCTTGAAAATGGGAAATTTTGGACGTCCCCAATGATGTTCAAAAGTTAGAATAGCACTTACCACAAGCAAACAAGGCGTGATATATTTCCAACATATACTCCACATTATACAGGGTTTGTATCCTATCATCATTTCAATATCCGTGTAAAAACGATCAACACCTGTCAAGGTAAGCTTGGTATTAGACTTATTCATACTGAACTTACATCAGCATTATTCATTTGCCAAATTAGTATTGATAGACATGTACTGATTTAAAAAAATGTATATGGCAAGAACTTTTTATCACCCTCAGTTTTTGGTGGGGTTCGTGTTGCTCAGTCTTTGGTTTTCTATGTTGTGTTGTGTACTGTTGTGTACTGTTGTTTGTCTGTTTGTCTGTTTCTTTTTAGCCATGGCTTTGTCAGATTATTTTGAATGTCCCTTTGGTATCCTTCGCCTCTCTTTGTAGTTGTAAAAGTTTTACTTCTGCTTGAGGCGTTTGACCGTAATATCCAAAGATATTTTAAGTTGTGGCTCAGATTGCACCTGTCCGCAGTGATAGAGAGTCTTCAGAAATACTGTGAAACTGTTTACTCGCTTAGTGGTATTAACAATATGTGGATTCTAAAAAACTCTAAAGAACTTCTAGATAATTTTAAATCTCGATCTTTCTCTGAAATTAATTCTATCAAAACTTTATTTTTCAACCCTGTATACCACCATTCCCCATGTGAAATTGGAAAAAGCGTTCAAAGGAAATGATCCACAATGCTTTTCAATATAAAATGGTAGCATACGCTATAAATTTATTACTTTGGGATACCATACGGCATATTTTGTTAATAGTGAACAAAAAGGTAAAACATTCTACACAGAGGAACAAGTTATCAGTATGCTGGAGTTTCTTATTGACAACATATTTGTTTAATTTGGAGGTAGACTTTTTCAATAAATTGTCGGTATTCCTATGGGATCGAACAGTGCGCCTCTCCTTGCCGACCTCTTCTAATTTTTATATGAGTCGAAGTTCCATCAGACACTTGTCAAAAACAAGAAGATCAAAGAAGCCACATCATTTAATTTCACATTCAGATATATTGATGATGTTTTTTCCATAAACAATCCAAACTTTTCTGATTGGGTTCAATATATCCTCCAGCACTATAAATTAAAGAAACAAGAGACACGGCTTCCTCCGCCTCATTTTTAGACTTATACCTCGAATTTGACATCAGCGGTCATCTCAGTACCAGAATCTATGACATTATAGAAATTTCCCAACTCATTTGGTATTCAAGAGATTGCAGCTGCAACTCAGACTTTGTAAAACGTCACCAGTGTCTGAGCAAAAAGTTGATGAACCAGGGTTATATAAATGAACGTCTCGTCCTTTTTCTAAAAAGTTCGGAAGATACCAAGACCTTGTTGATAAATATTCCGTATCAACTTCACAAATAATACATGATGGTCATGGTGAAGAGATTCTAGGTACTGACGTTGTTTATCATCCTAATTAGATGTTATAGTGCTCTTTTATATGTCTTTGTAAATTATTAACGTTTACTGTTTGGTCTATTTTTGGTAATATCCTTTAGACGTGGCTCGGTACTTGTACATCCCGCCATTGTGTTGTGCTGTTGTCATTTTTTGTATTGTTGTGTTTCAATGTTGCGTATGTGCTTTGTCTATTTTTATAGTGATTGAGATTATAACACAATGTTGACTGCTGTTCCCCTATTTTTGACATTTTTACCTATTATGTCTGTTTGTTTTGTTCACACATTGTTGTCAATATAATAGCAATTATGCGACTGTCACGCAAGTGTGAGGTTTAGCTAGCTTTAAAACTAGATTTAATCCACCATTTTCTACATAAGAAAATATCTACCATATAAGTCAGAAATATGACAGTTGTTTTCCGAGAAAATATCCAATCATTTTTGTAAGGCAAGAGGAAAATTGTTTTGTGAACAGCACAAACTACGCATTGTATTGATCAGGGTGGATGATTTCAACCACAGCAGCTTGCGTTCCTGCAAAACAAGTTTCTGTTTATCTATCGTTTCTAACGTTAGATAACATACAAAAAAAAGCTTGCTAGGAGATGAAGGAATGTTACATACCATAAATCCATCCAATGACTATGCATTCTATCAAAGAAAAAACCATTAGTGAAAGCAAAGCGCAGTACCAGTCCATTATTTGGAAAACATATATACCTCCCTGAAAATGAAGGAAAACAAGAAATAAAGAAAATTCTTGATATCTCTTTACAAAATCAGTGAATGAATTTCAACACGAGATAGAAATATGGCCACTGTGGTTTTCTACCGACCGGCCGTAAAACCCTTGCTAAAGTGGGGCATACGTTTGGCTAAACATACGTATCCACGTCCAGTAAGAATGGGGATGTTAAATCCAATTCCTCGTGAAGAGAGAGTGCTATACTGCCTGCATTTTAGAACTCAATAAAGTTTACGAGGGGTCCGTAGGTGACCTTTTGCACGGCAAAATTTCTGTCCCTATCCAATATACCCTAATTTTTTAGTGGCAGTCCAATTTTTCCTTCCTTCATCCCAGATGACCCTGTTACATAACCTTTCTATTGTATATATTGTTAATTTGTTCTCGTCCTGAACATGCATGGAGTATTTGACACTAAACAGAAAGCAAACAACAATCAATCAATCACCACGGCGTTTTAGAGGAAGGTTCAGACATAAGGTAGTATGCAGATGCCAAGGGGCGATCAAAAACCACATGTGCAAGATGTGGACTATATAAATAATTCTTACATAAAGAGAACAACTACATGTTAGTATCAGCCATTTGTATCTATCTCAAGCCCTTAAGCTCTACTATCAAGCTTGACAACAACGTCTATGGCTAGTAACGTGACCATTTGAGACTACTCTATGTACTAAATACATGAATTGCTTCTTGTCATCTTAAACATGAATCAACATACCTGCATAACAAGTGGAATACCAAGAATAAATTTCAATAAGCACAGCAAAGCGGAAAGTGTTTTCTTCCGATGTCTCAGGAACTTTGGGAATTCGTCAATCAGCGAAGCATTTATGGTTTCAACAAAACCAAACTGTAATGAACGTACATGCTGCTTTAGATTGTGAAACAAACACTATGTTGTTTCTTTTTATAATATTTAAACGAAGTTGAAGATCAATAAATGTGAGGACACATCATACAGTATAGCTTGCTCAAGTGAATGTTAACACCAAAATTGAGGGTTTCCTGATTCGAAATTTTCCCTTAGGTAAATTTGACATGTCTTTTAGGTCCCTGTTGATTATATTACTCTCTTCATTTCTACGTATTTAAATCTTCTGTGTTTCAAATGTTTCGGTTTTAGAGTTCCTGATGAAGGTAAATCCAGAAAAGCGCTAAGGACCACGAAATTCATGAAGTGTTTGTTTTTTCCTGAGAAAAATGTGCTTAATTTTCTTAATGGTGATAATGATTAATGTTAGTATTCGTCAAACAGGAAGTTGATAAGTGTGGAATGAGAAAATGCATCACACGATAAAGCATGTTCGCATGAAGCCTGATAACAAAATATCAGGAAGGTCTGATTTGAAAATTCCATAGAAAAATGTGAAGAAAATTTTATAAGGGACGTTATATGTACGAATAGATAAGCGATTGGTAAACAGGAAGTTGAATTTGATGAACGTGAATACGTTGTACACGGTTTAGAATGCCCTAAAAAGCTTTTTATCATTTTAAAGAAACTCTGAATGTGTAGTTCCTGGGAAACATTCGACGAAAATTTCATGGAACGGACGAAAGACAGAGGCAAAACAGCTTACAATTAAGGTAATTGAAAAAACCACTATTCTAATACCTGTGAATCTATTGCCACTGTAAGTAACATTAGATAGAATAAAACAGCCCATAATGGAGACAGAGGTAATCTTGAAATAGCTTCTGGATACGTTACAAATGTTAATCCTGGTCCTATAATGTAAACCAAAATACTCGTGTAACATTATAACATATAACAGATGATAAATGCATAAATGGTACCTATTTGCATGTAACTTCACCAGAAGCGCATTTTGACACTTTATATCTGAGTAATGCGCGAGTTCAAAATATTTGAAAATCCAAAACCTAAAACAAACGTTTATTAGCAAATAACACCAAAAAGGCCTTAAATGTATCTTAATTAGAAGTTTTCGAATCTTATGAGTATAAATAGACTGAAAATGCTGGATTTAAGAGTTCAGATTAAAAATAAAAATAGCATATTTTAACAGTTAAATTTCAAGGGATAATATATCATTTTGTCTTGTATTGTCCTCATTGTTGTCACCTGATAAACCACACAATGTTTTGCCGTTGCATATATAGTATGTTAATGTGTACAGTGTGTTCTTTGAAATATTGAATTCAATAACTTGGCGCATATCAGATAGATACCTTGTGTTACAACTTTTTCCACTGAGACTCCTTTTTCATGTGCCATGAAACCAAGGACAGAAAAAGTAACAAAACCAGCAAATAAACTTGTGCCTGAATTCATTAAGGGAACAATAAGGGAATCTCTGCAATGAAAACAGTTAATTTAATAATTGTTATGAATAATGCAAAACAATTTCTAATGATCTTGCTGCCTAATATTCCGTTGTGTTCAATTTTCCTTTTTATTTGTAGTGTTATGAGGATTGGTGTTTGCCATTTCTCCGTTTATCTTTTGGTCAATGTGTTGTCTGTATTTGTTGTGTTCAATTTTCCATTTTGTTTGCAGTGTTATGAGGACTGGTGTTTGTCATTTCATCGTTTATCTTTTGGTCCATGTGTTTTCTGTATTTGTTGTGTACAATTTTCCTTTTATAGCAGTGTTATGATGATTGGTGTTTTCCGTTTCTCCGTTTATCTTTTGGTCCATGTGTTGTCTGTATTTGTTGTGTTCAATTTTCCTTTTTGTTTGCAGTGTTATGAAGATTGGTGTTTGTCATTTCTCTGTTTATCTTTTGGTCCATGTGTTGTCTGTATTTGTTTTGTTTTCAATTTTTGTTTTTGTTTGTAGTGTTATGAGGATTGGTGTTTGCCGTTTCTCCGTTTATCGTTTGGTCCATGTGTTGTCTGTATTCGTTTGACTTATACTTCTCTCTTTTTTGTGAACACGTTTACTAAATCGAACAAAGAAGATACGTTAAACACATCATCATTATTGCAAATATATAGGAAATGTGTTGATGCTTTATATAGGCTAATAAAAGATTTTTGCCAAACTCAAAACTAATATTTGTACTTATAAATATAATTCCAAAATAACTCTATAAATTTGTAAACATTGATTACAAAACAATGGGATAGAGATTCCTTTAGTCTTTACAAAACAATATATCATGTAGCATTTACTATTCTAATATGACGTCTTGTGATCTGTGAGTTATATGTATGCTCCATGTAGAAATTCTCGATATACCAAAGCAAGCAAAAATTTACAGCATAACAAAGGGTAAGTCGTTCATATACTAGTAATAATTTTCTTCACTAATGTTGTCATCATTATGGATTTTTTAAGTATCTCCATGAAAGTTACCACAAGATGGAAACTAAGTGTAAGATACTGGTGGACAATCAGTCCCCGAGGGTATCATCAGCTCAGTAGTCAGTACTTCGGTACTGACCGTTCATAAATTTTGAAATTATAAAGAAACTAAGGTTTCAACTCCCTCAGGCAAAGTTGACCTTAAATGCATTTGGCAAATTTTTAAGTGCTATTTGATCATATAGCTCTTCAACTGTTTTGTTCATACACATCCTTGGCTTTCAAATATTCGGCTTTGATCTTTCTTGATGAAAGTTAATCGAGAAAAGCCCTTCGGACGGATACAATTTTTAACGTGTTGCTTTCATTTTTTAGATATTTTTTTTTGTTTTATGACTTAATTAAACTTTAACATCATATAGTGATGTCATAAAGGATTTTTCTGCTCTTAGCATAATAAAACTCTTGACAATTCAAGGACGATCGTGCTTATTTAACATATCACTAGATAGTAGGTGGCAACAAACTATACTGGCTTTGACAATATCTTTTTACACGGTCAATGGTCAATATTCAGCCGTTTTAAAATTTTGGAGATGATTTTGAACTAAGGAATGGATCTCCCTCATGCATAGCTCGGATTGTTTTATCAGCTTTTCAACGTTTGTATTAGGTTTTGATTTACAAATGTTTTGGTCTCGAACATCACAGAAGAAATGTTCGTAAAATTGATACTGTTAATGGTTTTTTCGGCATGAGTGATTCAAGCAGTAAAGTTTTTCTGCTTTGCAGTTTCATTGTTTTAATGTTATTTTTCAACTGAGTTAAAAAAAAAACTTTCAACAAAATAGGTATAGTATGAAAGAATGCTAGTTTAGAGAGATATGATTGCCTTTTCTCGTTATGACTTGAAATTTTCTTTTTTTTTCCATGAATCACCAGTTCATAACAATAAGATGGTTAACCACTTGTCCGTAAAATCCAGTTATAACGATTTCCAAACTGGATAACGGTAGAAACTAAATAATATGTGCATCCAGTATTAGAAGTCTAAAATGAGAGATAATCAGCCAATTAAAATACGCTCTTTATATACTTAAATAAAAGTCTGTTTAGTCGTCTTTTTGAAGTTTCTAATAATAATTTGTTTACCGGTATATGTTATGATGAAACTTGTTAAAGCTGGCATATGTTATCATTGTACCCCAACCAACTCCCGATGTGAAAAATATCTGTAATGCTGCTTCTCCCCAAAGCTGTGAAAACATTGATGAATTGTCAAAAGAAATATTCACCTTCTAACGTACTGTCATGACAATAGACCTAAGTATAAGGTCATTCAATCCAAATAGTTTATTCTAGAAGCCTCTCTCAATCAGAATTTCCATTTAGGCTGTTTCAGAATAATTATGCGGTATGAATTCTGTATGTAGATGTCTCCCTATTTATCTCGATTGCAACATCACCGAATGAGACTTATCACCGAATGTGTAATTACCATGATCAACATGGCAGGTGACACTGGTGGAGCAAGATCTGCCTACCCTTACTCACCCCAATTTTTGATTCGTTGCTCATTCTTAAGTTTGTACTGTATTGTTATGTGGACTTATTTGTCTTTTCGTCTTTCTTTTTTACCATGGTATTGCAAGTTTCCTTTCAATTTATAAGTCCACAATTGGATAAATGGTGGATTGTCCTCTTTAAGAATATATAAATCTTGATTAGTACTTAATGTTTTTTTCATAATTATTCAAAAGTTCCATAAAGATTGTAACATGGTTTTTTTTATATTTGTATATCAAGCATTTAAAAAAGAAAAGGTTACCAAGGAAAGTATGTACATATTTTATTCCGTAAATTAAAAAAAAAAATGAGAAATTATGTTAAAGTCATTAGTTGACACATTTTGTAATATTTTCAGGATCGCTTAATTAGAACATTTATATATAAATGATATCATCAAACTTGTCGTTAAGCATCAATCATTTAATATTTGTTTAGTTTTTGTGTCTTTTCATATTAATGACATTCACAGGTTCCTTTCTCAAACAATGTTTTTATGTCCGCTTTACGCCTACACTTTCCTAATACATTTTATATTCTCCATACAAAAACAGGGAATCCACGATACATTATAAATACCTAAGTACCAGGTTCCTGATAAGGTATCTTGTAGAAAAATATTACATTATCTATTGTTGATATAGAATGATACATTACTCACTTGAGTTGAAAGTAATTTGTCCCATTTCGGAATCAAATAAAATTTCAATCCTTCAGATGCTCCAGGTAGCATAACTGCTCTTATTAGTAAAACCAACAGAATTATATATGGAAATGTAACCGTCACATACACAACCTGAGAGTAAAGTGTTGATAATATTGACAACAACAGCTAATGAACATATTTTTAGATTGTTCTATACTACTAGCGAGTTGACTAGATGCGCGTCTGACGCACTTAATTACAACCACGGAGTCTTTAATGAATTTCTACCATCACTAGGTCGATACAACTTCAGGTGGACGTTTCGTACCAAAGTATGTCACCTGTATAATAGTCAACACCTTTGAGCTAATATACAATATTACTGGTGCAGTCATGTCTGTAAACTAGTCAAAACACTATGGATTTTTTTCTGTATTAGTTAGAGTTGGCAAAACGTTTTTGAATTTCAATGGTTTCGACAAACACGCATATGCACAAATAATTTTGTAAAAAAAAAAAAATAAATAATTAGAAAAAATGTGGATGACAATTTTAGTATTTCAGTTTTTGCTAGTCATAGTAGTGCATGTGTTATCAATGTTGATTTGATCTGTGCCATAAAAGGATATAACATTGTATAGTCAGATGTGTTTTACAGAAAAGTTATATTTAAATAATCAGTCTACATACCTTCCCAGAAACTTTTATGCCATTACAAACACAGATAAAAGTAAGTAACCAGGCAATAGATAAACATATCAACAAGCCGAGGTGAAGATGTCCCATGTTGTCTATACCAGACGATATTCGTAGCACGTTGTATCTTGATTAATAACAAAACATCAAATAAATAAGTTCATAGATCCTTTCTATCGACATTATCTTTGTAGTGATACCTCAAGTTAGAGGAAAATTGGAAAATATGGTAAAGTATTCAGAATAACCGAAACAGGTTGGTTAACAGACACATTTCAGTGTTGATATTTTTTTGAATTTGTGTCATTTTAGTCGAAAAATCGGTTATTATAACGGATCATTACATAAAATGACTTTATACAGATTATCATTTTAAATTAGATATCTTCCCAAAAACAGTTTTATTTTATTTGAACAAAAATATAATAACAAACTGGAAACATTCCTAACTTGGAAGGTTTCTTTCTCAAAACAACAATTCAATATATGTTTTCATAGTTTCAAATATTCAGCTATGAGCAAGAAGGGGGGGGGGGCAAAGATACCAAAGGGACATTAAAACTCATAAGTCGAAAATGAACCGACAACGCTATGGCTAAAAAAGAAAAAGACCAACAGACAAACTGTAGTACACAAAACACAACATAGAAAACTTAAGACTGAGCAACACGAACCCCACCATTAAACTGGGGGTGATCTCAGGTGCTCTGGAAGGGTAAGTAAATCCTGCTCCACATGTGGCAGCCGTCGTGTTGCTCATGTTACTACAAACACAGTAATACGTTTAATTCGGTAGGTCACATTCAGGAAAAGGGGACGGGATTGTAGTTACGACATTAGGAACATATCCGCTATCATCTGTGAAGCAAATATTCCGTAACGGTCAACCAACTCGCGATGGCGTCCGTAAAATTTATGAAGAAATAATTTCAACTTTAACAATTGGAACTCTTGGTTTAATAGCTTTCTTGTGAGCAGCAACCCTCTACCAAGGAAATCATGATAGGAAATACAAGCCCTGGAGTATCGTATCAACTGGGAGATATATACTCCGTATGCAGGGGCTGCTGGAATGTTGCTACATAAAAATGGATTGGGAAGCTGAAATCATCTCTTTAGTCATAAAGTTTTGTTTTTAACCGACCCTCATTGTCAGTTTCTAGATGTAAGTCAAGATACGAGGCAGACTTAATTTTATCTGTTGTGTCCTTTATCTCAAGTTCGATGGGATAGATGCGTTCAACATAGTCACCAAGTTTTGAATTATTTAGTGAGAGAATCAAAATAGCGTTCAGAATAGCGTTTGGACGCACGAACATCATAAAGACTTATAAAAGTAGATTTTTCTATCGAGTACTCAATTTTGCATTTGGTATTTCTTAGCACAGTAGTGCGCATCAATTGTTGAATGTATTTATGTATTCAGATTATAAGTGTAATGTTTATCTGGCTCTGTAGATGAAAAACAACATATTCTTCGAATCAAGGTTTATCCACAAATAGTGGATTGGTTGTTGCCTTTGTACATTGATTGTTTATTTGTACACGAAGATGGACATATTTCGTAATAAACGTGAGTCATTGAGCTAATAACCTATTGACAAGTTTTATTTGGAGTAACACAGAGTTTTCACTGTACTATACATTCGTCGTTTCTTGTTTAAAGGGAGCCGCAAATTCGATTGTAAGATACTGCCATTTTTGAATTTTTGTTTTATATTTTCTTTTTTTTTCTATTTCATATTTTGACTAAAAAATCTTTATAATTCACGAGATATTATTTTTATACTAATTTGAGAAATACCCCTCTCAAACTATATACGTTTATCTATGGCTATTGGTTAGATGTATTTTTATTATTGTTTCTTTATTCTACATTGGCTAGAGGTATAGGGGGAGGGTTGAGATCTCGCAAAACATGTTTAACCCCGCCGCATTTTTGCGCCTGTCCCAATTCAGGAGCCTCTGGCCTTTGTTTATCTTGTATGTTTTCTAATTTTAGTTCATTTATATGTTTCGGAGTTAAGTGTGACGTCCATTTTTACTGAACTAGTACACAATTTTATTTAGGGGACAGCTGAGGACCACCTCCGGGTGCGGGATTTTCTCCTGCGTTGAAGACCCATTGGTGGCCTTCGGCTGTTGTCTGCTCTATGGTCGGGTTGTTGTCTCTTTGACACATTCGCCATTTTCATTCTCAATTTTACTCAAATAAAATTAAATACCTCCAAAATTCTTCGCTAGCTGTAAGTTTTTCTTCTAAAATAGTTTGATTTAAAAACAAATGCGGACCAGTTAAGTTTTCATCCAGTTTCGGATAGGACATCGTTACATTTGATAACCCAGATTGATTAGTGAAGTTGTTTGCCGTTTCATTTCCTAACGATACATTATATCCACCTAAAGCATAACATTGGTCAGTATTCCAATGGTTGTTACATGTGCTCCATGGAAGAATGGATGTGAATGAGTTATAAAGATAATACAGTATCCATGCCATCGTAACATTGAAGTAGACCGATATGATAACAGTTAGGATAACCATTCCGTAGCCAGTACCTGAAATTATTTAAGGAAAATGAGGATTATATGTCCCATTCCGTAATCTTGTATACGAAAACATTTAATAACAGTTAGAATTTTAATTTTGCATCTGATACCTGAAAAAATCAAATAACAGTAAGGACGGCCATTCAGTACAATGTAACTGAAATCATCTAATAACAGTCAGAATAACAATTCCTTAATCGGAACCGATTACCTTTTAATAAGTCAGAATTGCCAAACCGCAGCCGGTACTTTAAATTATTTGATGAAATTCAAGATTACATATACCATTGTGTAGCCGGTATCTGAACGTATTTAACAATAGCCAGACAGTCAAAAAGATACGAAAGGGACAATGCAAAATCGTATGAGTAACAAAAACAGATAATAAATAACCGAAAGTAAAAATGGCGAAAATAAAAGCAACATTTTACAAAATACTCAACAGAAAACGAGTCTGCAACAAAAACCCACCAGAAACCGGGAGTGATCTCATGTGCTGTGGAATGGTAAACAGAAACTGATCTTCTAATGACACCGGTCATGTTGCTTATGTGCAATCGCTTTCGGTAATGTTACAGTCGAGAACAAGATTCCTACATTGCCATTCCATAGCCGTAACCAAAAATTATTTCATAAAGAAGAGCCAGAAGATACTAAGGGTACCTTCAAAACTCATGAGTCGAAGAGAATTTGACAACGCCATATAAAACAACTAAAGACGATGAAATGACAAACAAGTCCACAAAAACAAGATTAGAAAACTGAAGACTAAAAACTCAAAACTGGGGGTGATTTCAGCGGCTCCGTATGTTAAGTGGATACTACTCAACTAGCGGCATCCGTCATGTTGCTCATTGTAAGTAAAATTCGGGGATAAGTCACTTTTTTGTATCTGGAAGCTAGAATAATTTATTAGTTTAACATTTAGGATAACGTGTCACATTCTGCATCCTACAAAAGTCAAGGACTACTTCTTCTATTCAGTAGGCAGTACACTAATTTTATAACGAATTGCGTTACTATTTTCTGGCCGGTATATAGAATAATTTAGTTACAGACCGGAAAAACCGTTTCGTAATCGGTTCCCCAAATTATGTTATGAAAAAGATATTCTATCTCATAAGGCGATGACAAACTGACAATTATATGGCAAAACATGAAAAACGACCAAAAGACAAATAACAGTATGCAAAACACAACAGAGAAAACTAAAGACTGAGCAACCCGAACTCCACCAAAAACCAGTGGTTACAGTCAGATGTATCATGCGGTACAAGCTACCTTATATCATGTATGCATAAAGACATCTACTTAAATCCTAATGAACATAGAATTTAAGACTGTGAACAAGCAAACTGACAAACTGTTTTGAATTATATCATTGTAACTTTTGCTTCAGAAATTGTATAATTAAATTAACACTCAGGTTGCAACACATTTAGATCATTATTACTCGTTTTCTGTTATAATTCCCTAATTAAACATATCATATTGTTTTTTATTTAGATAGTGTAGCTCTTATACAATATCTCAAAGAGTGTTTTATGAAAGATAATTTATAACTATAACTTTGAAATGTTACAATAATTGTATTAAATAATTACAATTTCTATAGAAAATTTATAAAGTATATGCTTTTTGAAACATAAATGTTTTTTTGTTTAAGATTATCTTTTATATCATCAATTGGTCAACAGTGAAAGGAGTTTGTTGTAATTGGTCACAACTTCACTGTATTCTTTATCTTCATTAACATAGAAATAAGAAGATGTGGTATGAGTGCCAATGAGACAACTCTCCATCCAAGTCACAATGTGTAAAAAATAAACAACTATAGGTCAAAATATGGCCTTCAACACGGAGCATTGGCTCACACCGTACAGCAAGGTATAAAGGGTCCCAAAACGACTAGTGTCAAACAATTCAAACAGGAAAACCAACGGTCTAATCTATAGAAAAAACGAGAAACGAGAAACACTTATGCACCACATCAACAAACGACAACCACTAAATGCTGATTAACGAACAGCTAAACAAGTTATTCAAAAAGAGAGACGAAAGATACCAAAAGGATATTAAAACTCATAAGTCGAAAACAAACTCCCAATGCCATGGCAAAAAGCGAAAAACGACCAAAAGACACACAATAGTATACAAAACACAACATAGAAAACTAAAGAATGAGCAACACAAACCCCATCAAAAACCGGGGTGATCTGAGATGCCTCGGAAGTAAGTACAAACCAGGTGATAAGTCTAATTTGGTAGGTTGCATTTGAGGAAAAGAGGACGGGCTTGTGGTTACAACCATTGGAAAATATCCGTCGTCACCTGATTAAACAATCGAAGTGTTTATAATCCGTTATCATAAACGCATTATGTGCTTATAGCTGAAATGCGTGGGTGCTATTGCAACAGTGTTCAATGGAATAATGATCATGGATGGTTTTCATATACCAAATTAATCAAAAAATTCAACGTTCTAACAACGTTAACTTGTTAAAGTGTCTGATGAATAAAAGTGGGTACTAAGTATTGCATGATAAAATAGCATGATAAAACAATATATGTACATTGTCGGAAATATAAAATTTATTTGTACTTGCTACGAAACAGGAGAAAAGCTCGGCGAACCTCGCATTTATATTGTATATATGTGTGTGTGTGTGTGTGTGTGTGTGTGTGATGTGTGTGTGTTTTGTTCTCATTGCAGACTTAACATTGTTCTGTGAACTATGGTTGAAAGTTGTATCATTGATAATCATTTCAAATCTCCGGATATGACAAATTACTTCATTGACTATAGTGTAATATGATTGATGTCTCTTGTGAAACAAGACAATATAATACTTTAAAAACGTCCGATTTAGTTAGTGTACATAAAGACAAAGGGATAAAATACAAGTAATACACATAATACTAACGTCTTCTCTAAAATACACGTACTCATAAATATTCATGATATTAAACATAACATAAATCTTACACGAACCAATAACTTCAGTATAAAAACTGAATACACAACGAAACTTTATGAAACGAATTAATAAATTTGATTATATAATAAGTTAAATCGAATGCGTCTGTTTGTAGAATATTTCAAACAAGTACACCATGATTTAATACATGCGATGTACGTAGGTATAGTAACATTATGATCCGGTATACCTTTATCACTTTCTGCTGTTTTCTTTTCGACATGTTTTGTGATTTTTTCCCCCTTATCATGCATAGTTGTATGTAATCTATAGCCTTGAAATATATACAAATGAAATTATATATGCTCTCACCTTTGAATAAGGGACTAATTTCCCATAATGAAATTGCGCTTCTACCGGAAAATTGTGCCACTGAAAACTCAATAAAGTACATCGGCAAAGCTCCTATCACCATAAATATGAAATATGGTATTAGGAACGTCCCTAGATTAAAAAAAAAAATTAAACTGCTGTATTTGACACAGATTTCAAAATTTATTGGTTTTTTAATGCTCTTCAAACTCTCATTTGATTTGGCCTTTCAGCTGATCATTCAAGTGCCACTAATGGGTCATATGTTGACGAAATGCGCGTCCAGTGTACCAAATTATACGCCTGGTATCTATAATAAAGTTTACAATCTATTGGTAATTGTCACTTCTGGCGGACGTATCACCAGTCCAATAATCAACAAATGTTGTGTAGACATAACATATCATTAGTATGTTCAGTTTATGTAAATTCACGGTATATAAAATATAAAATTGTCCGAAATTCTAAGGTTTTTATTCCCCCAGTCATAGATTGCCTAACCTATTTGGTGCAACTTTTCGATTTTTTGTTTCGGATTTTAATGCTTTTCAAATTGGTATTTTATTCGGCCGTTTAATTGTTTTGATTCGTGCACAACTTATGTAGACAAAACGCGCGTCTGGCGTTCAAAATTAAAATCACAGTATCTTTGATGATTTTTTTTTCAATTCGACATAAGCTAGATCAACAATTCCTATTGTTTTTATTGTAATTATTCATGTTAATGATACATACACTTGATGAAGTGCGCAACACATATTAAGGCAGATCTAATATAATTAATCTGTTTCCACAAATAAGCTGCATTTACCTCCACCATTTTTATAACAAAGGTATGGAAACCTCCAAATATTCCCAGGACCAATACAGTAACCAGCACAGGATAACAGAAATTCTAAGCGCCCAGACCAAGTTTCCCTAGAGTCAGTTTGTTCTTTGGATTTTTCCATTTTTGCAGGAGAACTTTAAAAAGAGAAACAAATTATACCAGTATTGTTGCCTCGGTATTATTTCAAAGGAATGTAAGGTTTCTATCATAAAGAAGACGTGAGAGAACGTCAACGTTTCAGAAACCTAATGACATAAATTAAATGGACGCATTCATTTTAAGTTATATTTTCAATTGAAAGATGTTTTACATTTGCAAAATAATCTTACGAAAAAATATAAAACTTTAGCATCACAACACTTATTTTTCTGTGTTTTGGTTATTGCATATTTAAAAAAGTCAATGACTATTGCTTTAGTTTTTGAATTAACTATTGTTTGATTTAATTTGTTTAGTTTTTTTTTGTTATGAACAACTTTATTTAAAGACAAAATAGACTACATCTGTCTTTTGTTAAAGGATGTATGATTTTAACGAGATCCTCGAGATTTTTAAGTAAGGGTCGCTTCTTCATCAAAATACAAATTTCTGGAGTTTGATTCATACAATCTCAAATTATGGACCAAAATATTGTTTTATATTCAAAAAGGGCTCATTGTTCACCTGGTTATTTTTTTGTATGTTATTATTTAAGTTTATACTTTGAACAATTTAAAACACGAAATAATTTTGATATTCAAAGGTAGTTCAACATTTACTATTGTAACAAAATATCAAACCAATTAATGTGACTTGACTATAGGTGTTGCTGTTCACCTTGACCTATTGTTCAACCAGATTGTAAAATTGACAATACAATTGGGACATTTCAATTGACCAGTTGCCAGATTTAAACCTCACTGAACCAGTAAGAATCTACCTTGATGGATTTACCTATGAAAGGTCCATGAAGTGACTTCACCTGTTCAGTGGTTAAATTTTGTTCAAAAATTAAACTGACTGTTGTTTATTTATAGATGAAAACAGCAAATTTTCAGGTAAATATCATTTGCTATTTTAAAAAAGACTCATCTATCCCAATAACAATAATAATGATAACAACAATAATAATGTAAAGCTGTTATTAGGAAATGAAATTAAAATAGTACATGATCAATTAAGAAATTTTGTAATCTGACCCATTTGAAATTATAAAACCAGTGCTAATTTCAGTAAATAACATAACATGCCTACAGTTTAAATTAGCATACACTGTATATGGTATGAAATAAGCTTGAGTATGGCCTCAATATGCAAATGATTCCATGTTCTAATTTTTGCTAAAAAACGGCTGATTTTTTTTTAAATTTCATTTCCTACTATTTTTCTTTAGAGAATCCTAAAATAAGTAAAGGAAATATACATTGAAATTACAGTCTTTTTTCATTGAAATGAATGTATTCGTAAATGACCATACAATTGCCTAAGAAACAATTTTACATTTAAAAGAAATACGAGAGATTTTCACTTTAATGTCATTTTCAAATTTAAGGAGTGAGCAAGCCAGAACAAGAATATATAGTTTTTTTTTCTTGCAGGATATTTAATCGCTTGTCATATAATGCACTACATTTCCTCTTAATTTTTTCATAGCCAAATACTATGAGTGCTTGGATTTCTTTTATATCGTTGAAAAGTCCTCTTTTATCTCTTTGGCTTGTTCTAATAGGAGATAACTCAAAATATTTTTTTAACTTATGTGTAAATAAGAACTCTGTAACTTTTCATTTTGATTTCCATAATTTCCCAGGATTAATAAACACCAGAACAAATGTGTGCATTCTTTCATTTAAACATTTGTTCAATACTTATTGACATGATCCTTGTACAAAGCGTTTATGAATAGTGAAATATAAAAAAAAAATAGTTATGAATAAATTGTTTATCTTTTTATCTATTTATTTATTGACACAGATTTTTGATATTCCATCCAGTATTCCAGTTTCATTATTTGAAATAATTTTGAAATATTTTCATAAATCTATTATTTTTTTGGAATATTTTCTATATCCAAAGTATTCTCTTTAATTTCCCATGATATATATCCCAATTAAACAGGTGCAGAGTCTTTATATTAGATCTAGAATTTTGTAATTTTTGATTATTTCCAATATCACATTACAAATTTTTGGGACATTTTATTCATATTTTCCCCTAAATCACTTGATTTTACTATATCCACAGTATTCAGTTTTTATTTTATTTCCCATGATATAAATCCCAATTAAACAATATCAGATCCATAATTTTATAATGATTATTTCCAATGTCACATTCAAAATTGTTATCCTCATGTTATATCTTTTTGGGGAATATTTTACTTTTATTATTCACTTTATCACTAGATTTGACTATATCAACTGTATTCACATTTTATTTCATTTCCATGATATATATTCAAAATTAAACAGGTGAATCATCTTCATATTAGATCTAGAATTTAATAATGATTATTTTCAAAATCACATTTAACATATAAAGCCACAGAAACATGTTGGTTGAACTTATTTCTCCTACTTGCATTCCAGTTTTGATTGTTTTTACCTTTCAGATTAACTAAATCCCATCTTATAAAAAGTGAATTCCCTTGAGTGAACACAGTATTTTTATGCACAAAAATTCTTATAGATTTCAAAGAAAAACACTGCAAGCTATATTCCAAAATTATTTTGGCTTTTACATGTACATCATCATGTAAAAGCCATACAAAACATTTTGAATGAATTATTTCCTACTTGATACATTTATGACAATCCAGTCAAAGTCACATATTAAGAAGCAAAATTAAATGGCATATAAGAGGTGAATTCAAATAAAATAAAACCCAATTTTTTATGCACATTGATTTAAATAGATTTCAAACAATGCGAATAATAATTCAAAAAGAAAAATTTAAAGGGATATATGAAGAAATGCATCAATGATTTTTTAGTATATGACATTTGATGTTTTCATTAATTAATATTTATATTTCTAATTGTTTTAAAAAAGACATTACTAAGTTATAAAACTTGTGTCTGATCCATTGGTCATTTTGAATAAAGTATGTTTAAAACTAAACAGTCTCATTGACGTATACCCGTCATTTCCTTTTATTCATATACAAGTTGTTATGATAAATAAAGGCAAGAGTAGTATACCGCTGTTCAAAATTCATAAATCGATTGAGAAAAAAACAAATCCGAGTTCCAAACTGAAACTGAGGGAAACACATCAAATATAACATAGTCATCTGAAAACACCTGAATAGTATTTCCTGTTTCACTGACAACTGGACAATACTATGTATAAGGGTTAACAATTTAAACATTCATTTATTATTTAAAAACAGTTTTTAAGGACATCATTCGTAAATACTAATCAACATGCAGACATCTTATACGTTCAGGTATTTCACATCCATTTTTTATGGTAATATTCTTTACAAAGCACAAAAATGTCGGCATCCACCTCAAAAGCTAACCAAACCTTTAAACAGACTTATTCGGAAAGGATATAGTTACGATACTGTTGTCAAGTCATTAAGGATTGCATATTTTAGTATTAATATTGATTCACTCATAGGGTCTTTGAATCGGAAATAAACACATTTATTCTAAAACCAGTTGTTTGCATGATACGGGTTATGTTCTTTTCATATATTTTATGATGGTATGATACTAAACCCCTAACGGAAGGGATTGTACTTGATTTTCATATGATGAAGACATAATCTTTCAATCAGTTTAATTGAGGTTTGGAGCTGGCATGTCAGTAACTGCTAGTAGTCCTTTGTTCATTTATGTATCATTGTCATTTTGCTTAGTTTCTTTTGTTACCTATTCTGACATCGGACTCGGACTTCTTTTGAACTGAGTTTTACTGTGCATATTGCTATGTGTTTCTTTTTTCTACATTGACTAGAGGTATAGGGGGAGGGTTGAGATCTCACAAAACATGTTTAACCCCGCCGCATTTTTGCGCCTGTCCCAAGTCAGGAGCCTATGGCCTTTGTTAGTCTTGTATGTTTTTTTAATTTTAGTTCATTTATATGTTTTGGAGTTTAGTGTGACGTCCATTTTCACTGAACTAGCACACAATTTTATTTAGGGCCAGCTGAGGACCACCTCCGGGTGCGGGATTTTCTCGCTGCATTGAAGACCCATTGGTGGCCTTCGGCTGTTGTCTGCTCTTTAGTCGGGGTGTTGTCTCTTTGACATATTCCCCATTTCCATTCTCGATTTTATTAATTGTCATACATATCAACATGCTGTTAAGAAAATCTTTGACTGATTTAAATTTTTGGGTCAAAATTCGATTTATCGTCTATATTGGGGACCTAAAACAATGTAAGTTAATAATATTTTCTTCCCTATTAGTCTAATAATAGAATAACCCTAGGTGAAGAAAAACTTCAGGACAAAAGCATGCTGAAAGTTGGGTAAGGTGAATTTAAAACTCTGCAGGTAGCATCAAGGTAGACTCAACTCTAGCAATACCAACGGGTCAATTCAAATGTCCCAATTGTATTGTCAATTTTACAATCTGGTTGAACAATAGGTAAAGGTAAACAGCAACACTTATAGTCAAGTCACAGTAATGCGTACCAGTCACTTATCAGATATAACAAAATCCATTAAAGATGTTTATTGTGTTTGGTTAATGTACATTATATTATTTCTTTCTCTGCTAAAGTAGTGTGTTAGTAAAAGAAAGATTTTAATATAAAACATCATGAATGATATCGTCTTTTGTTACATCTCTTTTTGTATAATTTTCTTGAGTTACTGCAATACAATTCGTAAAGGTAACATTTTTTTTTTGCATTATAAAATCAGAGGGTATAATCTTTCCAAATAACTTATATTGTGTAATAAATTACTTTACATCTACTTATAAGTGAGTTGTTAAGAGCTCAAAATTGTCAGCTGAAATCATCAAGATGCTTGATTAATTCATTAAATACAGTCTAACGACGTTTGGAGGACGTATTAATGAATTGTGCTCTTCTTCTTGTAGAAATGTTCCTTATTCATTTGGGCATACTTCATCCAGAATCTTTTCAAGAAAAATGAAAAGCAGCATGCATTTACCTTTCAAAAAGTATTAAAAAAAT